ACATGTGACTCTAACATATACACCACTGCATAGCCCAACTGATATGATCTCTCTCTCTCTCTCTCTCTCTCTCTCTCTCTCTCTCTCTCTCTCTCTCTCAGTTTTTCAAGACAGGGTTTCTCTGTGTAGCCCTGGCAAATCCTGTAACTTGCTCTGTAAATCAGGTTGGCCTCGAACTCACAGAGATCTGCCTACCTCTGTCTCCCAAGTGCTGGGATTAAAGGTGTGCATCACCACCAACTGGCCTGTTATCTCTTCTTCTTTCTTTTTCCCTATTATATTATTTTTATTGCTCATTTGGGAATTTCATACAATGCATCCAGTCATACTTACTTCCCATTCCACCTAGGTCTACTCTCCCACCCTTGTGGCCTGCCCCCCGAAATACACCAAATACAATTTGTGTTGCCCATGTACCCATCAGAACATGGTCAAACTCTTAGTTGCCAGCCCCTTAAAAATAACTGAGTCCTTTCCCATCCCTCCACTAGCAGCCAACAACTGTGAAGAGCTATGCCTCAGCATCTTTATCACAATTTTTAAGAACGCTCCTCTCTGGTTTCCTGTCTAGACTATTTCTTTTTGGGGCAGGGGAGGGGGAGAGGTTGTTGTAGAAGATTTCAATGTCTTTCATTCTCAGTTATGAGTCTGTGGTCATCAATACCACTGCAACAGATGCTTCCTTGCTCATAACAACCAGTAGCAGCATGGATCATGGACTTGCACATGGTTTCCCACATCTGCATGGACCATGGACATCCACACAGTATCCAATGGCATCATGAACCTCATTCTGACCTCCGGAGGCAGCATGTACCACAGACATTAATATAGTCCTAGCATGAATCATGAACACCAATATGGTTTCTGGTGGGAGCACCTACCATGGACATCAGCAAGGCCTCTTGGCAGTAGCAGGGATCATTGATGTCAACATGGCTCCCTGCAGTAACATAAACCACAGACATCAGAATGACCCCCAGTGGCATCACTGATGAGGGACACCAATATGGCCTCAGGTGGCAGCACAGACCAAGGACATCAATACGGCCTCCAACATGAAAACAAACCATAAATATCAACATGGCGCCTGATAGCAGCGTGGGCCTTGGACAGCAACACGACCTCTGGCGGCAACACAGACCACCGACATCTGCTGTGGGATGTCTTTCTGTATGCTGTGTATATGTGTTGCTCTGATTGGTTGATAAATAAAACACTGATTGGCCAGTAGCCATGCAGGAAGTATAGGTGGGATGAGTAGATGAGGAGAATTCTGGGAAGAGGAAGGGCTGAGTCAGGAGTCATCAGCCAGATACAGAGGAAGCAAGATGACAAGGGCAGAACTGAGAAAAGGTACCAAGCCACGTGGCTAAATATAGATAAGACTTATGGGTTAATTTAAGTGTAAGAGCCAGTTAGCAGGGCTGGAGAGATGGCTCAGAGGTTAAGAGCACCGACTGCTCTTACAGAGGTCCTGAGTTCAATTCCCAGCAACCACATGGTGGCTCACAACCGTCTGTAATGAGATATGGTGCCCTCTTCTGGCCTGCAAGGATACACGCAGGCAGAATACTGTATACATAATAAATAAATAAATCTTTAAAAAAAAGAGAGCTAGTTAGTAAAAATCCTGAGCTAATGGCCAAGCAGTTATAATTAATATAAACCTCTGTGTTTACTTGGGGGATACGAGTGGGAGAAATTTGTCCCAACCACCCAGCTGGGACACAGGAAAACTTCTAGCTACAGACATCAATATGGTCTCCCACAGTAGCGCAGGCCACAGAGGCTGGCGTGGCCTCTGACAGTAACAGAGACCATGAACATCAACATGGCACCAGGTGGCATCTTGGACTACAGACACTAACATGGCCTTTGGATAGCTGTAGCCTGGATCATGTACGACAACCTGGCCTCTGGTGGCAGCATGGACCTTGGAGGTCCTTGAGAAGGCCCAATCCAGAAAATGAACCATTCTCCATCTTGGACATCCTATACACACACACACACACACACACACACACACACACACACACACACACACACACACACACACACACACACAGACA